AAAAAAAAAAAAAATTTGATAGTAATGGTATCTGCAGATGGAAACGGAGAAGGCACATGGCAATAGCAAAATTTAGCATACTCTAAAAGTCTCAATGTTACTAAAATTCCACAATCTTAATATCACAATATGAAGCATTTTATTGTACTGACACACATAGTTCCTGTCTGAAAATATATTATCTTTCACATATAGTGCTTGGCAATAGTTAATTTAGACTCCATAACTCCACTGCAAAATCACAACTTCAGAGGAAGAAGATCTTTGGTTGTAGCATAATAAACGGCTATCGCTAATAAGATGATCAAAATGATGGTCCACAAGCTCATTCCTGCAAATTAAACGGAGCGAAATAAAATATGCTGGAATTAATCATTTTCACATAAGTTCATCCATACACTAACATACCTATCCATTTGCATACTTGCAGAAATAATCACGACTATCACAGTGTCGACTCTTCATTAGGTGTTAACCAGATATTATTAATTAGCAAAATCATCAAGATAATATATTTCTTGACCGTCCCTAGCAACCTAGTAAGAAACCTAAAGCTATGTAATTTTCAAGCTGATTTTTGCGAAATACGCAAGTTCAAAAATTCATACCTTCTTTTTTCTTCTCCTTGACCAACGTCACCCTTGCACTCGAATCTAGCGATGTAGAAGCCAAGGCCCTGTTTCAAAGCAAATTAATATCGATTATAGTTAAGCACATGATAGTTACTTGAATGGTAGCATGGCATGTAAAAGAGTTCACAAACTTTGAGTCTAGAGAGAATGCCAATGTTGTCACGAGGCCGAGATGTGCTTTCTTGACAACACTGTGTACCCGCATGCTAGCAGAACTTAATATCAAAATATCCCCTTGTATAGTTCCTCTGCAATATAATCAATTGGGTTGAAATTAGATAAGGAGATACGACGAAGTAAACATATCTTGTTTGCACTTTGCAGTCAGATTTTATAAGGTGAGTATATGGAGAAGAAAAAAAAGGGCAATTTTGATAAGCAAAATCCAAATAGAGTGCTTTCAGAATATTAGAGACAAAGAAACTGAAAAATGAGAGTTAAAAATCGTATTCTTTTTTTTTTTTTTTTTGAATCGGTAATTGTATTCTTAATTCTTACAGTGCCAGAAGCTTTCCATCAGGCGACACATTAAATGCAGATATTGGATCTCGGGAAACATGTGTTGAACTTATACTTTTCCAAGAACCAGTGTTCCACTTTATGATACAACCACCTTTATCTGTGGATATAGAAAACAAAAGTGGATAGGTGTGGTCACGAGTAAAATTTATTTGAACATAAAAATAAAGTACAGTTGGAAAATACTAACCTCTCATTGCTGTTATATACAGAACTTGATCTGTGACGCTGCTCCGCGAGAACCGGCAGAAACCGAAAATCTCATCCTGGAGTAGGAAAGAATTTGGAGATAAGGACCACCAATATGTTCAATAGGTATTTTAATTTATTAGCATTAAACTATTTCATAGGAGAAAAAAAACAAAATACATTCTGCTTTGGTAGAGAAGCTACAGATGTTGATGTTGAGACATTCCATATCCTTGCAGGGCCGCTTCCCACGGAGACGAGAAACTTCCCATCAGGACTGCACGAGACAAACAAAGGAAATAAAATGGAAACTTCATCCTTCTGTAAAAATTGTGATTCCTAGCATCAATTTCCATTGGTGTGTTGTATATTGTAAGAGTTTGCGGAGAACCTGAAATCTAAATCTTTAACAGAAGCATGAGCATTGGCCTCGTCAAGGGTGTTTTCCATAGAAGGCCACTTAAAAACCCTTAACTTGCCATCCTGTGCTGCACAAACATGAGATAATAAAACAAAACACAATGCAAATAGGAGACAAGGTT